GAGAGAGAGAGAAGAGAGAGAGAGGAGAAGAGAGAGAGAGAGAGAGAGAGAGAGAGAGAGAGAGAGAGAAGAGAGAGAGAGAGAGAGCGAGAGAGAGAGAGAGAGAAGAAGGTATGAAAGAGAAGATATAATCGAAACCGGTCACATACATCTCTTGTATTGTGAAGATATTCATTCTCAGACATACCTTTTCTACATTTGTCAACATGAAAACGGTTCATATATATGTATATATATATATATATATATATATATATATATATATATATATAATATTATATAATATTATATATATTATAATATATATATATATAATATATAATATATAATATATTATAATATATATATATATTTGTGTGTATGTGTGCGTGTGTCTGTGTGCGTATGGGTGTGTGTGTACAATATATATACTTATATATCTATCTATATAATACATATATATACATGTATATAAATATATAATATACATATACACATACATATATATATAATATATATATATATATATATATATATATATATATATATACATACACACAGATAGAGAAAGAGAGTAAGAGTGAGAGTGAAAGTGAGAGTGAAAGTGAGAGTGAAAGTGAGAGAGAGAGAGAGAGAGAGAGAGAGAGATAGATAGAGAGAGAGAGAGAGGAGAGAGAGAGAGAGAGAGAGAGAGAGAGGAGAGAGAGAGAGAGAAGAGAGAGAGAGAGAAGAGAGAGAGAGATAGAGAGAGAGAGAGAGAGATAGAGATAGATAGATAAAGAGAAAGAAAGAGAGAAAGAGAGAGAGAGAGAGAGGTATGAACCTCCAATATGAATACAGTTGGGCAAAGCAATACCTGAATCCATTTAACTCTTTATTCTGAAGAGCTCACACACAAGTAGAAATAAACCCGACACGAGATGGCAGGCAGTGCACTTGATGCTGCGCCCTTGCTGCCGCCCACCCTGGGGAGCGCAAGGTGCACGTGGTAACTAAGTGGTCCCTCGGCGCAGTGGGCGAAGGAGGAAAGGTGACCGTGGCAGCGCCCTTTCCTCTGACCCAGGCAGGCGGGAGCAGATGTCACGAAGGGGGCGTGGCTTGCATCCGTGATTAGAATTGCAAACGCAGAAGCACAAGGGGGCCATGGAGACCACGTGACTTGCTTCTAAACACATGGCTTGGAGATATAGCGTATATTAGCATGTATATAATATGCTATAGTGAGAGTGAGAAATAGATAGATAAATAGAAAGAGAGAGACAGATAGATAGATGGATAGATAAATAGATAGAGAGAAAAAGAGAAAGAGAGAGAGAAGAGAAAGAAATAGAGAAAGAAAGAGAGAAAGAAAGAGAGAAAGAGAGAGAGCGAAAGAGAGAGAGAGAGAAAGAGAGAGAGAGAGAGAGAAGAGAGAGAGAGAGGAGACAGAGAGACAGACAGAAGAGAGAGAAGAGAGAGAGAGAGAGAGAGAGAGAGAGAGAGAGAGAGAGAGAGAGAGAGAGAGAGAGAGAGAGAGAGAGAGAGAGAGAAGGAGAGAGAGAGAGATAACACTAACAAACAGGTATGTAAATATATAATATGCATACAACAGTCCCTTTTCATCATACATTGCTTTTATTTTTCATTTACAAAAACTGTAATGCTGCACAAGGAAACTGTCATCAAAACCGCACATCTTATGCCTTTAAATCTCGGATCGTTGACGGCATTTGAATCCTTCGCAAAATACTCTCCGGCTAACTTGCAGAACAAGAAAAAAGAAAAAGAAAATAAAGGTTGCTCTGACGCATGTTGCCTAAATTTTAAGTTTGGGAATTCTCAAGCGGCTGGCAACGAGGCCATCTTGGATTTGTCTTCATCTTTTTTTCTTCCTGTGGCACTAGATGCCGCGGATGCTTCGTTTGGGCGACCAGAGCGGGTGGGAGTGTCTCCTTTTTCTCTTGATTTGCTCGGGAGACCTGACTCAGGCGAAGCTTTGTCCCGATCCAATGGGCTACTTTGCACTTGCACGACTTTTTTGGATTGAAATGCCTTTTCCAGGTCTTGCAGTGTCCGGCCTTTTGTCTCGGGCACGAAGAACAGGACCAACAAGCCGATGATCAAATTCGACGTTCCAAACACAATCAGAGTCAAGCCGAGACCAAGAGACGATATCACTTTCAAAAACACGAAGTTTACGGCAAAGTAAGTTACTGAATACCCAAAAGTGATCGCAGCAGCCCCCAGGGACCTGACGGGCGTTGGCAGGAGCTCGCCAAGGTAGGCCCAAGGAATGGGTCCCACACCGATCCCGTAACTGATCACGAACACTATCACGGACGCCAGGGGGACCCACGCGGCCCCCTCCACCTCCAGGAAGAGGAAGGCTCCGGCGACGCCCTCCGACACTGCGCAGATCACTGCTGTGGCCACAAGGAGGGGCTTGCGACCCACCAGATCCAAAGTGCAAGCAGACACGCAGGTGCTTGCAAGGCGAGCAACACCGACGATCACTGTGCAGTAGAAAGCGTCAAATTGTACTCCCGCGCGACGGAACATGTACACGGTGTAGTTGAACACCGGCCCTTTGCCCCCGAGTTCTCTCAGGACGAACACACTCAGCATCAACACCACCGGGATGGCGTTGTGTGCCTTGCGAAGCTCCCTCGCCTAAAAAAAGGGAAAGAACAAGTCTCATTTTCTTGTTTCTCAACACTTTTTCTTTATCAATCTCTCCTATGTGTCAAGAATTGCCAACGATTAGTAAAACGTAAATCATGTCACTAGGAATCGCGCATGCAGCCATTGATGATGTATCTTCCTTGTTAAGTAAATCATTACCTGGTCCTTGACTTCGCTTTGTCTGAGGGTCGTCGTGCTCCTAATTGCCTCCAGTTCCCCAGCCACATTGCCGTCACGACCCAGAAGAAGTCTCAAGGATCTCTCGGCTGCGTCGACTTTTTTCTTTCTTACCAGCCAATAAGGAGACTGCCAAAGAAAAAATCCTATTTAGAAATACAATCTAAACAGATGCATTACCTAATACTTCATCTAGGATCGGATTTAGAGATCTTGTGGCTGAAAATATCAGATTAATACAGTGCTTCACAAAAATGAAATTCAGGCAAACTCAGGTGAACCATTCCCTACTTCCCCATTTTGAAAGATAAGAAACAGACCTCTGGTACAAGCAATATCATCAGAGATAAGGGCAAGAAGGGAGCAGCGGAAACAGCAGTAGCCATGTCCCAGGGCAGCAGAGAAGCCAGCAGGTAGGACGCCAGCAATCCAACGCAGGCGAACAGCTCTGGCAGGACCGACGCTAGACCCCTGATCCTTGGGGGACACAACTCCGCTACCAAGGGCTGCACCACCGTGTACATCACCGCGGTAATTGACGCCAGGAAAGCTCTGCCGAGGTACAGGAGCCACAGGTAGGGGCTGAAAGCCTGCAGGAGCCAGAACCCGGCCACAGGGAACATCGTGATGACCAGCAGACGCCGCGGACCCACGTGTTCCGCTACGGAGCCCGCCAGAGGGGAGATCACGAAGCCCATGATATACGTCAGGGATACTGAAAACGAATCCTCAGTTACAAGAACAAATCAGAAACGACATCGTCGGTTTGTAAATTATCATTATGTAATATTTAGACCACCATTGCCGTCCACATAAGAAAAACAAATCTCTGGCCTATTATGGAAGCGTAAAAATGTAAACAATCACCAAGCCAAGAGACGTCGTCCTCAGTCACCGTGAACCTGGTGTCCTCCTGTAGCTTTGGAAGGACTGCAGTCCAGCCACACATCATTCCGTTTAGGAAATTCGTGCCGCCCACCACAGCCAAACATACCACCTGTTCGTTGGTTTGCGTCCTTTAGTATCTCAACATTGCACGAAATAGCAAGTGAATTAAACTGTTATAACAGATTAGTAAACATTTTAAACGGTGTTTGATGTTGCAATTCTTCAATAAAACTTGACGTTGCCTTACGTTTTTACATGTATGTATAAACGGCATATATATTTGTAAAAGCACCTTAAAGTGGCATAATGTGACTTTGGGAGTTATGAGGTTTGGTGCTTCTTACCTGTCGTAAAGTCAAGGGAGTCTTCCCGTCCCCGCCGTCCTGTTTCTTGTTCTCGCTCGGACTTTCCATTCTGGTATCTTCAAAAAAAAAAAAAAAAAAAAAAAAAAAAAAAAATCTCACATTCATATAAAAACACATGGAAAGAATGATCAAAGAAGTTTTGTTGATTTTTATATTAAATGTGTTTTGTAATGTATTTTCTGATCATTGTTAAGATTATTGTCGTTACTGCTAGTAGATGCAGGAATAGTAGTATATGTAGTGTCAATACCAATGGTAGTAGCAGCAGTAGTAGGTAAGATTACCATTATCATTATAATCATCATTGTTTTTATCCTCCTCTTTCATCGTACTCATGATCACTGTTAGGCATTTTATTATTCATTGCTACCATTACCATTAATATCATTATCATCTTTACCATTACTATCACAATCATCATCATTATCATCACCATCACCATCGTCATCAACACCATTATTATCAGTATCGTCATCATCATTATAATGACCTTCTCATCATCATTATCCATAGATCATTATCAAAAACTCAGTGACAGACAGTGCAGATTGGTCAATTAAATCATTGTCATTTTAAAACAGATTAAACAAATATGCTTAACTGAATGATTTTGCCAACATGAGTAAGAATGTTTATGATTAATAACAGCCTCATGAAAATTGGATGTAATGGTCGCGTACACTTAATGAGGGCACACACACACACACACACACACACACACACACACACACACACACACACACACACTCACTCACACACAGACACACACACGCGCGCGCGCGCGCTTTATGTTTTACGTATATTGTGTTAGCTGAATGCAAAATCGTCCAATACTCGTACCAGCATCGTATTGCATAAATTGATCAATTTTATAGCAGGTCCATCTTTTATTGCATTGTTTATCTTTGCATTCATACTTTCTCTCTAAACTACTTTGTATGTAGATATTTTGTTCATTGTTGAGTGGTGCTGGGTCTTGCAATAATAATAATAATAAAAAATCTTATCTGACGAAGGGCTCATTAATGTATGTATTATTTGGTCCCTGTGGAATCGAGTTTAAATCTCAAGAATTCAAAGTAAAATCAAGTCAACACTGTTTTTATGCAAATGTTTGTCCTACTGATAATAAACCATGAAAAAAAATACTAACAACTCCTTTGATAATAATTGATCGGAATACATAAAAACATACCAATAAATAAATGCAAAAAAGGAAGAGAAATACATACTTTTTGCCGAACACATTTCACGACAGAGGTGGTCACCACGGATGAAGCATTGCCGGCGACTACAGCGAGCACCCTTGACACAACACATATATACGGGCCCAAGACTGCTCGTTGCCATTCTACACTATCTTAATATTCCTTCTTCTTCGCTGCTGGCTCTTCTCTTCGGAGAAACGCCTTTCCCTCCTCTCCTTTGCCGTATAATCGTCATCTGTTTGTTTCTTCCACAGGACATGATAGCTTTGTACCGTACGGCATATTTAATATATAACTATATGTGTATATATATATATATANTTATCATATTATCATTATTTTCATTATCGATTATCCAATGATGTATCGATCTATCCTTATCTTCATTTCATTATCCATGATTGTTTATGATCCTTATCATCGAGTATTATGCTATCCTATCATCATGATTATAATGCAGTTCATTTAATCCTTAATCATTATTATCCAATTTACTGATTAATTACCATTCTTATCATTAGTACCATTGCTATCATTGTTATCATTATTCTTGATATTGCCATTTGTTATTTGTAATTACTTCTATAATTATAACAACTAACAAGATAGCAACCAGTAAACAGCCAATAATAATATTAACAAGTAATCATCTTTATTACATTATTGTTATCCGTTCTTATATCAACATCCCCATTGCCTTATTATCATTAGTTATAATTCCTATGCAAACAAAAGATCAATGATAATGAGTGAGCAATAATACAAACCATTATCAGTAAACAACAAAAATAGCAAACATAAGAATAATTAAAAACAATCAAAAAACCAAGAACAAAAGTAACAAACAACAACGAAGGACGCACAACAACCAATAAAACAACAAAAACACAGTAACAAACAAGATCAAGCAACAACAAAGCAAACAACAACAACCAGCAACAACAAAAAACAGCAACACAAACAAACAACAACAAGCAACAATGAACAAAAACAACAACAACAACAACAACAGCAACAACACCAACAACAGCCAAAACAACAAAAACAGCACACCAAACAACAACAACAGCAACAACAAACAAATATACAAACAACAACAAACAACAACAACAACAAAACATTAAACGTAATAGTGCAAAACGACGTGCAGAGCGCTCATGAGGTCGCTCTCCCCCAAGAAGGCATCCACAAGCACATAAATTTTCTCGCAGGTTCACATATATGAAGTCGCGGCAGTACGAGACCGCCTCGAGCCTCTGGAGTGGAGGGAGAAGGGATAGGTGAGCCGGATAGGATGAGACCGGCCGCTCGGCGGTGAGCGCTGGCGTGCACGGGGGGAAGGCACGTGGTCTAGTAGGAGAAGGTTGAAGAGCGTGAAGAGGTACGGTGAGAGAGGAAAGGCGGAGGATAGTAATTAGTATATAGGGAGTGTAACCACCACACACAATGCACACATACAATATATCCTAATGTTGGGCTGTGTGCTTTCGTGTGTGGTATGGCGGCTGTGTCGGAAGCCAAAATTATTACAAAGAAAGACAATTCACCGTCAAGTATCCATTGCTTATCCTTCCCCTACCTACTCACACGACTCCAGAACGTGCCATCTACCCTTACCTACCATCTGCATCTCTCAAAACAATCTTCACCCTACCCACCCTTTCTTCCTTGAAACACAGACAAACCCCTCCCTCAATCCCACCCGTTACCCCCCTACCCCCTTCCCTAACCCCCCTCCCCTTACCATGCCACTCCCAGAAAAGATTTAAAAGAAAAGGGGTAGGGGGCAGGGCCAATGTCAGCGAGCGTCTCTCCCTCCTTAAAAGTACACGGCTGCCTGCCATTCGTGCATCGGGTTACAATGCTTAACTCTACTCACTGCCTTAATACTCTTCCTCACCCCGAACGTGCAATCTGAGCATGAGCACTGCCGCAAGAGAAAGAGAGAAAATTTGTGAGATTAGATATCTGATTGTCGTTCCCACTGCCCAAAATTGAGATGGTAAAGCGCCATTAACCCGTTATTAAAACCTAATCCAAAATGGAAAATGAGCAAAGTACGATTGATTATCCCCAAATTCATTTGTAATGAGAGAAGGCAAGGAGTGAGAGATTGATAAAATAAGAAAGAAATGGAGACGAGAGGGAGCGGAGGGATGAAGAGCAGACAGAGAGATGAGAGAGAGGAGAAGAGCGGAGCCAGAGAGAAGAGAGAGAGAGAGAGGAGAGAGAGAGAGAGAAGAGAGAGAGAGGAGAGAGGAGATGAGACGAGAGGAGGAGAGACGGAGACGAGATGGAGAGACGAGAGGAGACGCTGACCCGTCGAGGCTCTCGAAGAACGAGAGAGAGACGAGAAGGAGAGCGGTTAGAAAAGCCGAGAGAGAGAGAGAGGAAGCAGAGAGAAACGAGAGAGAGAGAAGAGAGCAGTAGAGGAGAGACGAGAGAGTAGCAGAGAGAACGAGAGCATGAGCATCAGACCAATGAAGAACGAGAGAGAACGAGAAGAGAAAGAGAAGACGAACCGAGTGGTGAGAAAAAGCCCTGAGGAGATGAGAGAGAGAGGGACTGAGAGTTGAGAGAGAGATAGAGATCTGAGAGAGAGAACGAGAGAGACTGAAGGTACGAGGAAGGCATTGATTGAGAAGCAGGAAGAGCAGATCACGAGCTGGAGCAGACGAGAGATAAAGAAGAGAAGAGAGAGAACAGAGATAGAGAGCAGACGAGCATGAGCAGAGAGGCAGGGGGCGAGCGGGAACCCAAGCATTTTTTCACTGTTATTCTGTTTATTCCGTGTTGCTAAGTCAAATGTAGTAATTATTGCTTCTTACAAATATGAATAATTCTCACACAAAAACGCACCACCATTGCTCTCCGGCATGTTATGCTCAGACATTCTTTTATCTTTCTGTCAGTCCCAGCCTGTCTTTTTGCTCTTCTATTTGTTTCGTTTCGTCTGTCTGTCCTGCTGTCTGTCTGGTCTGTCTATCTTATCTATTTCTATCTATTCTATCTCGTCTTCTGCTCTGTCTAGTCTGTCGATCTGTCTGGTCTGTCTGAGCTTGTCTGTCGTCTGCCTCTGTTCCTGTCTGCTCTCCTCTCCTCTGCTCTCTCTCTCTCTCTCTCCTCTCTCCTCTCTCCCTCTCTCTCTCTCTAAATTACACACCAAGCTAACCGCTGTTTATCCCACTTGTGAGGAGGACTTCCTGTTTTTACCAAAACGCTAAACCCCAATACTCCTAGAATGTTTAAATTTCTCCCGAAACATGATTGCTTCAGTTCTTGAATTCGGCACATATACTTGTGTTTTTTTCTTTTCTTTTTGGTTTATATCTTATTTCATTTTATATATTTATTGTTTATTGTTATTTTTTCAGATATAATTTGGTCCAATGTGGTTTGTATTTAACTTATACAAAGAGTTAATTATAGATTTGACCGGACTGTAATAGATATTCAATTAAGTCAGGAGATATAGTTAGACCAATATGAAGTGACATATTGTCCATTTATATATTGATAAGACAAAAATAAAATTGACCTGTGAGATGAACTAACAAATGACCCTGACCACGCTAACCATATAATTATATTAACAACACTCAATAGTAGATCTGAAATGATTATGAACTAAAAAATGATTCTATATGACTAAAAATGTATAATTGCGAAGGACTGATATAAAAACTGACCCTGAATATGATCTGACAATGATTGAAGATAAATTGATGTGATATAGAAGATGGAGGTGAGTTAACAAGAGGGCCTGACTATAGAGTGCGCACAACTGTTCAGAAAACTGAATATGAATACATAGTAAAACTGCACACTAATTGAAAGAACGTAAAAGATAAGATGCTGATGTACAATCATAGGAGTGAACATTTAGTGGTATGAGATATGAACAGACCAGGGAACCATTATATGAATTGACATGGCCAAGGCAACTAATGGGCTTAAGAATTATTTTTAAATCCTGGAGTGCCTGAAAAGAGATTAGTTTCTTCCCCTCCCCCCTCCCGTCCTACTTCTTCCCCTCCCTTCCTGCCCCGCCTCCTTTCGTGTCTCCCATCATCCCCCCCCCCGTCCATCATGCAACACCTCTCCCCCCTCCTCCCCAACTCCTTCATCGACTCCCTTTCCTCCCCCCTTCCAATCCTTCCACCCTGGTCTCCGTCTCCCTCCCATATCCTCCCCTACCCAAGTCCATCCCACTCCCCTCCCCCTCTCCCCATCCCCCAACCCACTCCATCCTCCCCATTTCTCCACACACCATTCCTTTCTGTAATCCTTTTTCCTCCCCTCTACCTTTCCCCTTCCCTTCCCCCCTGCCTCCTATCCTTCTCCCTCCCCTCTTCCCTCTCCACCCGTCTCCCTCTCCACCCCCTCTCCCTCCCCACCTCCCTCCCCTCTCCACCCCTCTCACCCTTTCTCTCACCCCCTCCCTTCTGCCACCCCCTCCCACTCTCCACCCCTACCCCTCTCCACCCCACCCACCTCTCTCCTCTCACTACCCCCTCCTCTCCTTCTCGACCCATCCTCCCTCCCAACCCCCTCCCCTCCCTTCCCCCCTTAATCTCCTGCCCCACCCCTCTCCCTCCTCACCCCCTCTCCCCTCCCACCCCCTCTCCCTACCCCACCCCGCTCTAAGCCACCCCCCAAGACGAGCGGTGGCAGTCGAATAACACTATCAAACAAGGAAGTCATTGATTACAACAGAATAACAATGCGTGTGTGGGAGTCATAGCGTCTCTTCCCCACCCCCACCCCCCACCCCCGTCCCTCTTCCCTTGCTTATCCTTACACCCTCTCCCTGTCCCTCCCCCCATCCCATCCCGGCCCCTCCCGCCTTCCCTATCCTTTCCCCCTCTCCTGCCTCCCTTCCACCCCCACAACCCACCCACTCCGAATTCCTTCCTTTTTCACCTTGACTATCTCTTCACCCCTTTCTCTTTTCGCTCACCTCAAAGCAGTTTCGTTCGCGCAACACTTTTCCATCAGACCCTTCCCCAATTTTTATACCCATCTCCCTGCTAGAGGTAAAAACTCTCCCCCCTCCCCCTCCTCAACTATTCCTATCATCTTCCCTCTACCCCGCACCACCCTTCCCCCCACAATCAAAAACAAACTCACCTCATCCCCCCT